ATTATATAGTTGATTTGTTTAGTTTTGTTTGGAAGATCTATCTAGAGATGATAGAAGTGTGTTAAAGTCATCTAGTATTATTGGGTTGTGGTCCACTTGGTTCTTGTATTTGAGAAGAGTTTGTTTGACATACATAGATGTCCCATTATTTGGGGCATAGGTATCTATGATTGTTATGTCTTGTTGATGTATGAATCCTTTAAGCAGTATGAAATGTCTTTCTTTATCCCTTTTCACTAGCTTTGGTTTGAAGTCCACTTTATCTGATATGAGGATGGAGATTGCTGCTTGTTTACATGGTCCATGTGAGTGGTATGTTTTTTCCCACTCTTCCACCTTCAGTCTGTGGATGTCTTTTCCTGTGAGATAGTCTCTTGAAGGAAACATATTGTTGGGTCTTTTTTCTTTAACTGAATCTGTCAGTCTGTGTCTTTTAATTGATGGAGTTGAGGCCATTCACATTCAGGGTTATTTTTGAAATATGATTTGTATTCCCAGACATTTTGGTTTATTTATTTTTATTTATTTATTTTTTTTTATCTTGACTTGGTTTGTCCTTTGATTGGCCTTTCCTTTAGTGTAGTTCCTCTCTTTGCTGATTTTCATTGTTGTTTTTCATTTCCTCCTCCTGGAATATTTTGTGGAGAATGCTCTGTATTGCAGGCTTTCTCGATTTAAATTCTTTTAACTTTTGTTTATCATGAAAAGTTTTCATTTTGTCACCAAATCTGAAGCTTAATTTTGCTGGATATAAAATTCTTGGTTGGCATCCATTTTCTTTCAGAACTTGGTTTATGTTGTTCCAGGATCTCCTGGCTTGAGAGTCTGGGTTGAAAAATCTGCTGAGATATGAATTGTTCCCCCCTCCCCATATGTGATCTGATTTCTTTCATGTCTGCTCTGAGCCACACTAGCAGCAAGATCTTTCTAAAATAATATCTATCTATCTATCTCAATGTTATTATAACATTTATACAAATATGTATATACATGTATATCATATGTTTAACCATATATATGTACCTATATATGTTTTATATGTATGTACACCCACATATATACATATTTGTGTGTGTGTGTGTGTGTGTGTGTGTGTAGCACTTCCCTGTTTTATCATCCTCTTGTCACCTTAGGATAAAATCCAAATTTTACAGCGCAGTGTTCACAAGCTTTCCTGATGTGGTCTCAAGTTGTCACTAGAGCTTTGTGCAGGACAATCACTTTTAAGTATTTTACTTTCAAGTCAATGTACTGTTTACCTTTCCTGCCACTTGTCGAGTTGTTTCTTATTCTTCCTCTCCCACCTGTGGCCTTTTCCTACTTAGTAGCTAGACAGTTTCTAACTGAAGGTTCATGGGTTCCATCTTTTTTTTTTAAGGAAGATTTTTCGGAAGCTCCTCTATGTTTCTGTGTCACCTGACTTTACTATTTATACAGCACTCATTACATTGAAAAAATGTAGAGAATATAGACTTATTTTCCTCTTATTATTGACTAAAACAATTAAGCATATTCTTAGTTAATATTAGTTAAGTGGACTAAATGATTTTTCTAATGTATTTTCCTTAAAGAATAGGGGTGTGGTCATGATTATATGTATGCCATAGCCTTAATGGGAAGACTGGAATACACAGGAAATGACTGCCCCAAGCCGCTTAGGACAGACTCCTAAGTCACCACATTTGTACCTTAGGGTGGAAACATTTGAGAAGATCATGGCTGGTTACAGATGGGTAACTGGGGGCATAAACCAGAAGAGGAAACAAACTGGAATCTGTTTATTAAGTGGAGTGTAATTCACTCTGACATAACTGCATGTTGGTGATAAGGGAAATAAGAAGGACCAGTAATACTAGGTGTCTGGCTGTTGAAGTAAGCGTTGCTCTACTTACTTGAAGTCATTTTTAAAAAGGAGAAAAGAAAAATAAACATTAGATCCAAATATTTGATTTGTGTATTTTGAATTTTAGAGACTGTGGGAGATGACTATGTAGGAGTTTTTTTTTTTTTTGCAAAATTTTTCAGATTAAATTGAAATAATATTAAATTATTGTACTATGTAGAAATGATAATATTAATAATTGTGGTTTGTGTGTCATTTACTGACAAGTAGAGATGACTTTTCGTTTGCCTTGTTTGTTCAGTTTGGTTTATTATATAGGAAAATTTAAAGATACAAGTGTTAACAGTTTGTGTTGCAATTCTAATAATGTTTTTCATAAGTCAGTGTTATTGGGAAAAATGAAAATTTTGCTAAAGGAATGATTGTCTTCATTTATTTCCTATACATCTTCAAATTGTATGAGAATGTCATAAATAGTGGCAAAACAGTATCAAATTCAACATACTAAAATTTAAAAAAAAGCATTTGAATTGGACAGCAGGATTTTATATTAAAATGTAAAAGAAAAACACGTTCAAAAGAGCAGCTTATAAGCCAATCTCATTTTTTGAAAGAATATTCTAAGTGTTCTTTCTATGAACAAATATAATCATGCAATAATAGATCCAGTGCAGAATATATATCATTTTCCTGCAAAAAGAAAGACAGAAGTAGGCATAAGTTCATTCTTGATTTTGATGTGGGTATTTTCCTGGGTTTCTTTATTCTGTCACATTGCATAAAATATTCTACTTTGAAAAGTATTTCCTAAAGTAAGATCAAGTTTCAGTTAATCTGAAATGCAAATAAAAGCTCTGGGAATGTTAAGTTGAACTGACCATTTTGAGGAACATGTTAATTTTTTGTACTGGGGATTGAACTCAGGGGCACTCAACCAACCAGACACATCCTCAGCCCTATTTTGTATTTTATTTAGAGACAGGGTCTCCCTGATTTGCTCAGCGCCTTGCCTTTACTAAGGTGGGCTTTGAACTTGCAGTCTTCCTGCCTCAGCCTCCTAAGCTGAGGTGTGTGCCACTGAGCCCAACTATGTTTACTTTTTAATAATATTTTAGAATATGATTTATTGAATATTTTGGTTAACATTTATGTTACCTTGGATAGCTTCTCTCTAACTTTTTAGATTAATATTTGCTACTAAATTACCCTCATCCTGAAAAAGAACTAGTTTTTACCCCCTCTTTCTTCTTCCCTAAGACAATAAACAAGAAAAATATGATCTTGTTTATTAAATCACTCTGGAAATCATGACATGGTTTCATGGTTTTCTTTTCATTATGTATCACGTTTAAAATTCTCTATCCTCAATGGACAGACCTTTTTTCATAGCTAGCAGTATAGGACAAAGCAGTCTTTACATTTTGAGGAAAGATAAAATGAATTTTATCATTCACACACTCCAAAGTCTAGTAATCAGTAAGAGAATACCATATGATTTAGCAAATATCATCAGACTGGATGGGCAAATATTATTTATCTTTAATATAATAAAGTATCATTATGTGGCCTTGAAATATTTTAGAATATGATTTATTGAATATTTTGTTTATCATTTGCTTATATTTTAATTTATATTGCTTATATTTTAATTCAGATGTTTAAATTGCGGTCTTCTGGGGCAGATGTTCTTGATGAACTGCCGATGTGCTGTTCCCCTTAACACTGCAGTTCACACTGGCAGAATCTCCATTATTAGATATTCCTGCATTTGGGTTTCTTTGACTACCAAAGACAACTTTGCCAACCAAAGCAGGTGGGAAGTCTCAGGGAATTAACACCACTGGGAGCATGACTCAGCTAATGATTAATGAGGGTTGGTGTATCCCAATGCCTACTCTGTCATTCTTCAGGTGAGATGTATCTGTCTACACTGGGTATCAGATTTTCCCCAGCCAGTTTACACTGTAGTTGCCAATAGTGTTGATGGACTTGATGATGCTCTCTGTTAATAAGAGGCCTTGCAGTACTTGTGTCACTTCTTTTCTCCCTACTGGTGTTTCCTGGGATCATTTCACAAATAAATTATCTTGTAATTGAGTTGTTACATCAGGATTTGCCTCTGGAGGAAGTTAAATTAAGATCTTTTTAAAGCTCTGATAGAAAAGGAAAAGAAAGTGAACAAATAGATAAACAAGTTTCTAAAGAAGATTGCACCTAAGATGAAAGAAGAGTTTTCAGTGTATGTATGTATGTGTGTGTGTGTGTGTGTGTGTGTGTGTGTGTGTATAAATCTTAGATACAAACACAGAAATAGGAATAAAATAATATTTGATCTCACTCTATTATTGAAGAAAGTAAAAACTGTAGGTATGGTGTCACTGATACTCATATCAAGGTGGAGGCAAGACAAATTTGTGTGTATATATACATATCTCCTTATTTTTGCCGGAAAAAAACTGGTGTTTTGGCAAGAAGAGGTATTATTCTGTGAATTTTTCTGCTACCATTTGGATTTATGTTGGAGGTACATTTGAAGTGACTGAATTAAGGGAAGACCATTTGTGCTGTTGTATCTACCTGGAAAGTCTTTTTCATTTTGTCTGTTGGGATGAAAATTTAAAAGTCTTAACCCAAACTATCTGTTTTGGTTTTAACATGTTGATCAACAGAAGGATAACTATCTAAATGCCTTTTTATCATAATTGAAGTGGAATGAAAATAAATCTTTGCTTTTTCATATTCTGTATCACTTTGGGAATCATGAGCAGGTTGTGAGCTCGGTTAGTCTAATTAGCTACTATATGAAAGAGATAACTGAGCTACTTATACAGCAAAAGGGAGAGAGGCATTTATTGTCCGCCAACTACCACTGTGTTATAACAGTAACATACCTACGAGTTAAAACATTTAACTCACTAGGTATGTGGCAGTACTGCTACTTGTCATCATCTAGCAACCTGCCACTATCTTTTTAAAAAATGTTTTATTATTATTTCCCTACCATATGGAAACTTTATTGAACTTTTATAAGAAGTATAATTAAAATTTTAGAAGATATAATGTACTCTCTAAATAAAAGAATGTAATTACTGATGAATTCTATTAAGCCCAATTTTAATTTCATTTTTATTGTTTTTATTTTGTCTGATATACATAGGAGAGGAAGTGATAGAAGAAGAATTCTGTTGGCAGCTATATGATTGAAGCTACAAAAGGCCAAGTGTCCATATATTCTTTCAACTATATTTGAGCATATTCAGGTAAGAACAAATCATTACTTATATACTATTTCTAAAAAAAATTATTAAAGGAAAATGATAAAATACATTAAAGCAAAATAAAATTAAGAGCAGAAATAAATGGGGTACCACAGTGCACACCTGTAATCCAAGCAACTCAAGAGGCTGAGGCAGAAGGATTAAAAATTGAAGGCTAACTTGGGCTACTTTGGGAGACTCTGTATCAATAAAAAAATAAGAATGGCTAGGAATGTTGCTCAGAGGTAGAGTACCCTTGAGTTCAATCCTTGGTACAAAAAAAAAAAAAAAAAAAATCAAAACAAAACACCAACAAATTTTTTTTTTTTTTAAAAATAACTTTTGTGGTTGTTCTATGTCATTTGATTTTTGCTTTGCTGGTTTTCTTTTTTAAACCAAATTGAGGTGATAAATTATATTTTTGTATCTTTGTTGATAATATTATGGTTATTTTTATTTTTATTTTTTTGTGCTGCGTGCAGGTCAAACTCATGATAGAAATTTATTCTACCACTGAACTCTAATCTAAGCTTTCTTTATTATTTTTGTAACACACCTACTTTGTTCTGTTCTTTGGGAATGTGAATTTATGTTTCATATTTTACACTGTATCATTTGACATATAAATGATTTTAAAATATTTTAGGGTATGTTCTGGGTGTGGTGGTAATCCCACTGTAATCCCAGTGGCTTGGGAGGCTGAGGCAGGAGGATCTTGATTTCAAAGCCAGCCTCAGCAACAGCTAAGTGCTAAGCAAAAACTCAGTGAGACCGTTTTTAAAACACAAAATTTGGCTGGAGATGTGGCTTATTGGTTGGGTGCCCCTGAGTTCAATCCCTGGTTACCTCCCCCCCCCCATCACTGTATATACATATTTAGGGTATGTGTCTTTATTATTCAGTAAAAACATAGATAAAGTTATTATTATCTTATTAGAGTTATTAAAATAGCATCACTGAGTCAATGACTATGATGTTTTAAAGGCTTTTTGTTTTGTTGCTGAGTTTACCCACAGAAGGTAGAAATGGTTAAAGTTGTCCTTACTCAGTTTTGAAGACTGTTGAATTATTGACTACTATTTTATCATTCAAAAAATTTTATTAACTAAACTTACTTTGGGTTGAAGAAAAACTCAAAATTAGGATTTTAAATTTTGATTGAAAACCGTAGCTTTCTCCTAGTCAGATATATTTAACAAACATATTCCCTTATATAACTAGGCCTAGAAGAAAAGTGGCTATATATATGCATAATCTTATATATGCACATGACTGAAAATGCAGTATTTGTCAATGAAGACAAGTATCCATTTGTTTAACTGATGTTTATTGAAAACTTAGTGTGACATTAACCTAACCACTGTGATTATTGAGCAATGGGAGTGGTGTTAGTTGAGATTAGGGAAAGAGAAGCACAGAAATAGTTCCTTGTTACTTTGACTTTTCAATAAAACTATGATAAGATAAGAAACATATTTCAGTAATTCCAGTAGAGGCAGAGTGTACCAAGTGCCACAGAAGAAGTAAAAGGAAAGAACAGTTGCTGAAGTGAGGCCTCTTCACAAGTGGGAAGCCAGATTTCCAGAATAAGTAGGACTGGTAGTTAAAAGAAATGGAGAGTCAACTCAGAGCAAAGGGCAGGGCCGGGAAGGCATGGGGGATTATCAAGAAATTAGACAGACAGAGTAGAGAGCAAATTAGTGGGGAGTGTGTTCTCTGATTTGGGTTGATATACTTTGGAATTTGTATTTCATCATTAGATAGCAAGGACTAACTTTTTATAGTTTATATATATGTATACATACATATATATGTGTGTGTATGTGTGTGTGTGTGTGTGTATATATATATATATATATATATACAATATTATTTTATTTATTTATTTAACGTGGTGCTGAAGATTGAACCCAGTGCCTCATGCATGCATGTGAGGCAAACACTCTCACTGAGCTACAATCCCAACCATATAGTCATTCTTTTATAGAATCAGATGATCTGTGCTATCCCTAAAGAAGTTAATTTAGTGATACGTGTTTAAAAAAAAAAATAGAACTCAGATTAAAGAAAAGTAGAGTAATTTGTAGACTTTTCCTTCCTAGAAATCACCATTGGCTGAACACTTGATATTTGCCAGGCACTAAACCATGAACTATAGAAAGAAAATAATGAAGAAGACATAATCCCCACCCCGGGAGGTTGTAGTGTATTGAATGAAGTATACATGACGAATAAATAAATATAGTTCAACATGACACTTTAAGGGTAGATTCAGATTCAAGGAATGGCTAGCGGTCACTTGGGTATTTAACTTCCCATTGGAGCTGCATTGTTTTATAACCAAATCTGGGAAGTGTCGTCCCATCTGTAGTGAGTTGCATGTTGGTTTCCAAACAGATTCTCAAGTCCTAACTTGTGAATGTAAAATTATTAGATAGGGTATATATAATTAAGGATCTTTGTATGTGAGAATCTTGAATTAATCAGTAGAACCCTGACTCCAGTGACACAAGTCCTTAAAAGATAAAGAGAGGGGGAAGTACTGGTGAAGGAAATCTTCCATATTATGTTATGTCCATGTACAAATATACCACTCCTGCTTATATATTTAATTATAATTTACTAATTAAAATATCAATAACAACAACAGAAAGGAGTTCAGCAGAGTAGAACAAGTAGATCAGGTGAACAGAAAAGAATAGTACTGGGGAATGAGATTGATCAATTATAATTTGTGCATATACAAATATGGCATAGTGAATCCTATTATTTCTAATTATAATGTACCAATAAAATAATGAAAGATAAAAAAAGAAGGCCATGTGAAGACACTCAGGGACTCCAGGTGTCTCCTATTACCTGTTGATGTAGCCACATGCTGTGGAGAAGCCACCAAAAGCTGGAAGACAAAGGAGACATAACCTCACCTTTAGTTCACTGAGGAAGTGTAGCTTTTTCAATACCTTGATTCAGACTTCTGGCTTCCAGAATGACGACAGGATATATTTCTATTCTTTTAAGGCAGCCAGTGTATGTGTGGTAATTTGTTTTGGCAGCCCCGGGAAACTAATATACCACTGTTTCTGTAGTCTCCTATTATTTAGAAGTAAGTTACTGAGCCTAGATTACATTTCAAGAGCACAGGATCACAAAGGGGCAAGAAAATCAGCAGGCAGAGATTGCTGGAAATCATCTTAGAAGCGACCTGTTTCGTTTGACTTCGCTTCCAGCTACCTCCATTTGTATGCTGTGTCTACACATGGAACAAACTCAGTAGATCAGAGGTTAGAATCATTATCTCACATTCTCAAAATCATGATATTTCATCTGTATTTACTGCCTCTATGATCAGAATTACTATTCACCTGAATAATCAAATTGGAAAACTTAGAGTCAAGTAAAATTTCTTCTCATTTAAAACGTCTATCCTTACATTGATAAACTATTCTTTTTCATTCTATTCTCTGCATTTTTATCATTTACAACTCTTTATTTTTAATGTCTTACCTACTGTTTTCAGGCTTTTATGATAGCTTCCAAAAGTAGTTTAATAATCTTTAAATGTTCAAGTCTTTCTAACCCTTTCCTCTTCAAATCTTTCCTGCCAAGTGGATATGAAACCCACATGGGATAAGGTCATTCCTTTTACTTAACATTTTTCTTTGGGTCTCTCCCTTCTTTATAAGCCAGATGACAGTTACTTAGCAGGAAATAGTCCCTGGTGATCTGACTTTTGACTTCCCGATTTCAATTTTATATTTAATCATTACTTCACATACATCTATAGAATTGTATAAAATTGCAAAACATCTTATGTTCTCCATTTTTTTTGGTTATACAATCTCTTTTTCTACCGAGTAGGTGTTTTTTAAGATTCAAAATACCTAGCAGGATGACTAATACTAATGGTTAGCAAAAAATAGATTTTTATCCATTTAAAACTAATGGAAAAGATGAAAGAGTAGGAAACAGAAAACTCTTAAAACTCAACAAAATTGCTAAATGTTTATACTAGGCTAAACTGGAAATAAAGAAAAGAGAAAAGGATTTATGGCTGATTATGGACAAGGACTATGAAATTTAAGGATAGGGTTAAAGGAAATATAAGTTCAATGTAAATGTGTAGGAGAAGTAGAAAGTAAAAAAAAAAGTTTACAAAAAGAGAAAATTTTGATCTTAGATTATAAATATAGTTTAATCAGATGAAGACACATCAAGGGAACAAAACTTTAGACCAATATCCATAAGGAACTGTCGCGACCCCTCACCAGTAAGAGAAACACAACACAGGATTCTTCTTTCAGCAGTTTACTCAGGACCTTTGAATCATGATGAGAAAACAGGAACAAGAGAGGAAAGAGCCAGAGCGGTCGGTCTGCCCTAGTTTAAGTACCCAGCCTCGCCAATCAACTAGCACCACGTGGAGGAGTCTAGTAGGTACAGCGCAGCGGAAGCAGGCCAGAGCCCAGCCCACAGCCTTACAAGGAGTTGTTTACTTCTAACAGCTCCAACCGCTAATTAAGCAGAAACAGGAAACCAGTGCCATTTTCAGGGTGCGGTCGCCGGCTCCCAACAAGGAACATAGATGCAAAAATTTTTAATAGAATACTGACAGAAATCACATACAAAAACACATTAAAAAGATAGTGCACGATTATAAATTGAGGTTTGTTCCAGGGATGCAGGGTTGGTTCAACAAATGGAAATCAATAAATGTAATTTTTCATATCAATAGACTTAAAGATAAGAATCACATGATTGTCTTAATAGAAACAGAAAAAGTATTTGACAAAATATAGCATCCATTCATGTTCTAAATACAAGAAAAAACAGGGATAGCAGGAACATACCTCAACATTGTAAAAGCTATATTTATTAAATCCATTCTAATTGGAAAAAGAATTTTCTCTAAAAACTGGAACATGACAGGAATGCTTTCATCACTTTTATTAAATCTAGTCTTTAAAACTGTGGCATAGCAATTAGGCAAAAGAAGAAAGTAA